ACTTATTGCCAAAAATGTTTGCTGCATATTTATGGAATAACACCGATTCCAAGGCTACCAAGCACACATCCATGAATTCAGCAATAAACAGAACTATGTTCAAATCTTGAATAATCGACAGTGAGAATGATGAGAAAAATAAAGGCATACGATGCCATCCAGGAGTCCTCGCAGTAGCGTATTCATTTTCTTGTACCGATTTGTTTTGATCATTGCGCTTACAATCATAATGCAACGGTACAACACAGTATCATCGAGCTAAAATTTAAATTGATCTGTATCAATTTCAGTACATAGTTGCAATACCATGAAATTATTTAACATACACAACAGCGTGTATCTATATGTGAATGAATCGACATGGCGCAGCTGGCTCAAACATCAAAGCGCCGCTTTCGTGCTAAAAGGCCGAAGATTCGATCCCACGTAACTGAGGAGGCACATCAAAATAAAAACAAGACATGATGTGGTCATTTTAGGAGAAATGAGAGGTAATAGACAGGCAAAGCTAGCTAGAAAGTGCGGGGTGCTAACATAACATAGGAAGGGTGCAAGCAAGCAAGATGCAATAAATCCGAATGCAAGTGCGACGCTACGTCAATGTGGTAAATTCCGAAATGAGCGGAAGGAATACGCCATCCACTAGTGCTCTGATGACGAAAAAGAGCATAACGATGAAAAAGTAGCTGAGTAAATGATCAAAGTAAACATGAATGTACTGACATACAGTCATCTCTCATAATTCAGTGATAACAGTGTGAAAATTAGAAACAGAAAATGAACCTTGTTCCAAAATGCTCTGTCATTCCCCGAGCGATTCTTCGTGAACGACCGTTTCGCAGTCACGAAAATCGAGGCGTTTGGGAATGCCGCCCTGTGTATAATGGCACCCGTCAAGTCACATATTTCCGACAGTGCATCCTAAAAATGAAATTTTCGACAACTCTTAGATGCTAACAAAAATTTATCATAGAGCAGGGGAAGATATGCCAGTCGATGGGCCGGGATTTCCCGCTTCAATTTTACACATTTTTTCAAATTTGTCCTCACTTCTAAATCTCACTTATTGTTATAAATTTATCTTCACTTTTACTATGAACTTACTTTCATTCACTTATCTTCCGACTTTTTTAATTTCCTCTAAATCACAATAAAAACTCCAACTCCATTCTCAATTTTGTCCCCAAATCCAATTCATATTTACTAATCTCTCGATTCGGTACACTTTTTTAAACATGAAAAGTTCGCACGATCGAATACTTAGCATTGGCCAAGCAGGATGATTCTTTTCTGCACAACACATAATTCACATCCACATCTCAGCAGTCCGCAATACCAATTGACAATGTGTCTCTTTATTAAAATGGACGATCGCAATTACAGCAAATTGTTGACAAGAATGCCCTCCAAAAACACCTGAGAAACACGGTTGGGGACAAGGAAGAGGAGAAGACTGCGTCCTCAGTATACTCTGCGCTGACTTGCCATTTCAACAAATCAGGGAGCCAGGAAGTTTTGAAAGAGTGAAGGGGATCTGAAATGCATCGTGACTATAATACTAAGCAAGCCCACAAGGGAAAACCTTTTTTTTGTCACTTCACTCAGAGTCACACAATACATTTCTGTTATGATCCAACACAATTAAACCAGCGCATACTTTGTCGAAAAAATCCTTCGCATCCACTGTTGGTCAACAGTAAAGGTAAATTCGACTGCAGCGACTAACTGCGTCAGACAACGCAAAGTCTAGCCACACTCGGGGTGGCTACTGATACTGGACGTGACAAAAATAGGAAGATTAGAGAGAATCCCATAAAATGCAACATAGTGCAGGAAGGAAAGGAACCAGGACAGCAGAACACCGTCGAAATTAAAGTAATAAATAAGCCAGTCTCGGTCCTTTAACTGTTCACTCAGATCACCTTAGAAATTGAAGTAATAATAGGCCAGTCTCGGTTCTGCTTTTTTTTTTCGCACTCAGATATGCGGAGTAGCGTGGAGCATTGCAAACTGAGAAACCAGAGCAAATTCAGCTCCTTCTCCACGGCAGTCTTCGAAGGCGGCCCTGCCAACAAACCACTGCTGTTCATCAACGCACTACATCATTCAGAAAAGAGCCTCGAAAGAGATGATACGCTAATATGTTCCTGAATTTAGGATTTCACTTCCCGCCAATAAAACGAGCAACAAAAGCAGCACTTGCTCGAAGGGTACCACCAATGAAGGCCGGATGGGCAAGATCCGCTAAATCTTAAGCCAACAAGCGGTACGTTGCTTCAAGAAGCAGTAACTTCATATTACAAGATGAGGTTTTCCGAGGATAAGTTGCCAACAGATAAAAATAAATCGCATACGTTAGCATGCTCCGGAAGCGGCCATAAATGCATGTACATCTGAACCACAGTTAGATTAACAATATCTGTTGTAAGATTCAGCTCCATGTTACTCAGCATACTCTCGCACAGCATACGATAACATTTCCTTAAACGATCTTTTTTTTTGTTTGATGTTTTAGGTGAAAATTTTTATGCACACTCAGCTATACGGCGCCTTCAAGCTACCACGGCAGCAAAT